GATGCCTTGTCTAGGATAGCTGACCCCCTCCATACTACAGTAACCAAGGCCACCATCTTGCCGGAGAGTAGATTTTTAGGAGTTACTTTCCCTTCTGATCTAATGTCTCGTATTAAAAAGGGCTACTCTAAAGATGCAGTTTTTCGTGATCCTCCTCGTGATCTTCATATTGACCATGCTTAATGGGTTTTGGATTTTTCAACAACGTCTGTTTGTTCCAGAATCAGTGCGACTGGACGTTGTATGCCTCTACCATGACTCTAAACCAGCAGGTCATCCAGGAATCCGAAAGACACAAGAACTACTTGCCCGATCCTTTTGGTGGCCTAAATATTATGAGGATGTTAAGAAGTATGTGTCCTCTTGTGATGTATGTGCCAGACATAAGACTCCTCGCTCATCCCCTGTTGGCTTGCTTCAGCCTCTTCCGATTCCTCATCGTCCCTGGGGATCTATATCCATGGACTTTATTGTGGAACTACCTCCCTCTAAGGAACACACTACCATTCTTGTTGTTGTGGACCGGTTAACTAAGATGAGTCATTTCATACCAGCTCGTGGTCTCCCTTCAGCTAAACAGACTGCTGACCTAGTTATTCGGGAAATATTTTGCTTGCATGGAGTGCCTGATGAAGTAATTTCTGACAGAGGAGTGCAGTTTACATCTCATTTTTGGAAATGTTTTTGTTCTATTCTAGGTATTAATGTAAATCTGTCTTCAGCTTTTCATCCACAAAGTAATGGACAGACTGAGCGAACCAACCAGACTTTAGAACAATATTTGCGGTGCTATATTAGTTACCTGCAGGATGACTGGCTGGATTTTCTACCCACGGCGGAGTTTGCCTATAACAATGCCCAACACTGCTCCACTTCTCTGAGCCCATTTTTTGCCAATTATGGTTACCATCCAACCTTTCTAGTGAGTCTCCCAATTACTACTCCCATTCCTGCAGTCACTGACCGGCTAACCGCCTTACGAGATTCCCAAGAACTGTTGAAGGAGACTCTTTCGGAGGCTCAGGAATGTTACAAAAGAGCTGCTGATAGGCACAGAAAGGAGGCCCCAGTTTATCATGTTGGTGACAAGGTTTGGCTGTCAACAAAGAATCTTAAGCTTGGGATTCCTTCTCATAAATTGGGTCAAAAGTTCATGGGACCTTTTGAGATCATCGCTCAGATCAATGCAGCCACCTTCCGTCTGCAACTTCCGGATTCCATGAAAATACCTCCGGTGTTTCACGTGGCACTGCTTAAACCTTATCATGAAAATACTTTCCCTGGTCGAGCCCTGCCTGCCCCACCACCAGTCCTCGTGGATGGTGAAGATGAATACGAGGTGGAAAAAATTCTTGACTCCAGGATCTTCCGCAACAAGCTTCAATATTTGGTTCATTGGAAAGGCTATGGTGAGGAGGATAGATCGTGGGAACCAGTGGACAATATTCACGCTCCCGATCTTCTTCAGTCTTTCCATGCACAGTAAGAGGCTACGCCTGTAGAGGTGGAGGTAATGTGAGGAAATGACTCTGCTGGGTTTCGAACCCTGGTTTAGAGGTGCTAAACCTCTTCCTTACCAGTACACCAGCCTGCCTTTTGCAAATTTACCTGAGATCTGATAGCATTGCTTGTAGAGTCAAGGTTATCAGTAACAACTCTCTTCAGCTGTGTCTGGTCAGGTGTCTGGTTCTTGGCCTATAAAAGCCACTTCCTGTCTCTGTACCTTTGCCAGATTATTGTGGTTCCTGTACTCTCTAATCCAGCGTGTTCCTGTTTCTCCTTCCTGTTGCTGAATTTGGACTGTGTTGAATTTGCTGCTTCTCCTTCCCACTGACCTAAGCTTGCCTCACTACGATTATCATCTTTCTGTTCCAGTCTCCCATCTCTGCTTAAGACCAGAAGGCTCAGGGGCTCAACCACCTGGGTAACAAGTGGCTACCTCTGGCAGAAAACATTGCTGATCTGGCTACTGGACTCCAAAACTTTGTAACATCAATATCATTACAGACCGCAAGGAAAAGGAACAACTATGATAACCATAAGTGAGGATCCATACAACTACTCACTATATAAACTGGAGCTGGTCCTAAGCTCCATTCCACGTGAGATGGCAATCACACTTTTGTGTGTCCAATTTTGTCAAGATTGGGTTATTCTTAGCTATTGTTTTTTTATGTACCTACGGATCCAAATTACTATAAGGAATTCAACCACCTATCCAAAGGGAAAAAAGACAAACATACTTGGGACTATTTGGACATGCATGTAAAACAATCTTTTTTTATTGCTTCCTGGCGATAGTTGTTCATCATAATGTAAGTTATTTGTCCAATTTTTGTCCCTGTAATATAGTTTCTGTTTACTAAAGAGTATATTTTACCTTTTGGGTGCAACCTATCTTTTGTTTTTATTTAATGTGGGATAACTGTATCCAACATTAGATTGTTTTAATATTTAATGTGGGATTATTAAATATAGCTATACAGATTTTGTTTTAGTTACTCTCGTCCTGCCTTTTATCTACAAAAAAATACTATCCCTTATTCCTGTACATTTTTAAAAACTACATAAACTGAAATGTTTGGTAACCAAGGACACTCAAATGGACACTCTTTCAAACAAGGGCTTTTTAAAATAACACTCCAGGCACCATAATATATAGAGTGCTGCAGTAATAATAATGCTCCTGGAGTGCCCCTGCCACAACCTATTGTTAGTGAATCAAACTTCCCTACAATTGTTTATGTTCTTAGTTGGGGACCACTAAGGGCTACTCGCTGCCTCCTTTACAGTTGACGGACAGACAGAAGCTCACTGTCTAAGATAAACACAACACTTTTCAATTAACATTATGATAAGCATACATAACTTGCATATAAGTAAATGATGTTCATATGACTGTGTAATTACCATTCGACTTTGAGACTCATTTTTTAGTTTTTTCCAAACCTCATTATACATTTCATCCAATCCTTGCCGTGATTGCTTATAGGTTTCTAATTCAACTCTTGTATCTTGTTTATTCACCTACAAAAATAGAAAAGATACTTTTTTGAGACACTCTAAATAATACCTAGTTAGGGCCACCATTCTCCCTACTGCACAGGAATGAACAAAAACTATACGCAAGATTTTCCAACTTGTATTCCACACTCTACCAAAATAATATTTGTAAGAGTTATACTAGTATATGTAATATACAGTAAAAAATCTAAAGCTGAGAAAACAACTAAAAAGATAAAAATAATTTCTTGTTTTAAAGCATGTACCACCAATGAACAGAGAATTGAAGTACACTTGCATATAAACATCACAATATACAGTCTATACATTTTGGCCGTGGAACGTGTACTAGACCTTAACATGCTTTTTAGGTCAAGTCATCAAGTAGCTTCAGGTCTTTCCACTCCTCCTTGAGGAATTGTTTTAAATATCACTGTAGCATCTTCATATAGCTTCACCCAATGATTATGCAAGAGAAACCTTTGGGGTGATGTTTCCAGTATCTCTTTGTTTGTCTCCAAAATAAATGGCCAAAAGGAATATGCATTGTCCCCTTTCTACTTTTGAACTCTTTAATTTATGATTTTTCTAAAATAGTGCATTTTTTGAACTGGCTGTTAGCACTTATTCAATTTGTAGGATCTGTATAGTTAAGTACCTGTGCCATTTTGGGCCCAAGTTTTAAAGAACTATATTACAGAACTAGAAAAAGTGCAGAGGCAAGCTACAAAATTAGTAAGGGGGACAGAAAACATTAGTTATGAGGAAAGGTTAGAAAAACTAGAATTCTATTCTTTAGGAAAAAGGCGCCTCAGAGGGGAATTGTTAGCACTATACAGGGTTAAATATATACAGGGCTAACCTGTTAATTAGAAGGAATATACAACAGACAAGCAGTCGCTCATTGAGACTGGAAGAAAGAACAATAAAGAGGTTGTGTTCTCAGAAACTAGAAATACATTTTAACAAGGATTGGATGCTTTTTTGCATAAACAGAATATTCAAGGATATCATTGCTATGCATGTAAACAGGTTGTTGATCCAAAGAAAAATCTGATTGCCATTATGGAATCAATAAGGATTTTTACCCCTTTTTGTTGCATATTTGGAAATTGCTACATTTGTTTGGGTTTTTTGGATCAGCGATCAGCATAAAATAATGGGCTTAACGGTTGAATGTGACTGACTATAGTGTTTTTAAACCTAGACAACTATATAACAAAAAAGCATATTTTTGCAATTGAAGGACATTTTAAATGTCATTGCTTTCATCTTCCTTTGAAAAATCTTGGAGGAGGACCTTGCTGTGGACATGTTTGCCAAATGTAGCATTGTTCTAACAACTGTTTTATAGAAAAAGCTGTTTAAAGATATTTGAGCAATCCAATATGGATGCTTAACCGTTGGACCAATTGCCTTCTCTTCAGCAAATCTGACTCTGCACAGCAATTGTTTATTTTTATTTAATATTTTATACACGTATATTTTTTAGTCTAATAAAGTATTTTAGAAGAAGAACTATATACGGTACAGTTCAATGCTTGACACCAGAAGATAACATTTCAGGATTTTCACTGGTAATAGGGGTAGAACTGTCTATCTCACACTTCTATATCTATCTATATATCTATATCTATATCTATATATATATATATATATATATATATATATATATATATAATACTCCTTTGTATTTTTCATGTACCACATTATTATTGATCAAAATACTAGTCTGTTACTAGAGCATATATAGCTCACATTGGCCAGTTCCCATGCTGTTTCCATAGAGGGTATACAAGCCAAATTATATATATCTATATCTATATCTATATATATATATATATATATATATATATCTATATATATATATATCACAGTTTCAGTTCAGATAATAAATAAAAATTAAGTTTAGTGATCAGTCAAAAAGTGTCCTTTCACTGTAAGCTTATATATATATATAGATATATATATATATATATATATATATATATATATAAGCTTGTGTCCTTTCACTGTAAGCTTATATATATAGATATATATATAGATATATATATATATATATATATATATATATATATCTATATATATATATATATAAGCTTACAGTGAAAGGACACTTTTGGACTGATCACTAAACTTAATTTTTATTTATTATCTGAACTGAAACTGTGGACTATCTCTACATGCACTGATACAGTGTATATTCATTTATTGAGATACATTCACTCAGTTGTGACTAAGGTCTGTTTTTACTTATCCATGGTGCATTGATACTATGTATGTTACAAGTTAACCCATCAATCTATATATTCTATATATATATATTATTCTTTGCGTGTAGTATCCACTCCTGGTTAAAGCAATTAGACTGCTGTCTCCTTGCTTTTTTACCTTTTCTGCATAGCAATACCTACATTTGAATGCCGATGTTGGAATATTGTGCAAAATTAGTCACCAAAATCAAAATGGCTGCCAGGCAATGTGACCTATAACTTTTTTGTTTCAAAGGATATAGTGCATCATAGGTCATTAGAATTGTATCGAGCTTCAAGAGCTTTTGATTAGTAATTTGGTTTTTATAGACATAAAAAAAAAAAAAAAAAAAAAAAAGATAGGCTGCCCATCAACATCATTCCTTGGTCACAAATGCTGTGATATACAAATAAAATTCATGTTAATCTATGCCTGGACAAATTAATTCAGCCACAATTTAAGTAATTTAGGTGTAGAGTAATGTGTCTGTTTAATTTTTCCCATGTAAAAAGGTTTTGTCCATAAGTCTACGATAAGCTTAACAAAAACAATAGGTTGTCTGGAAACTTTGTTGCCTGGCCACCTAAAAAACATTCAAATAGAAAAATTGTTAAAAAATACATGTTTAATGTGTTCAAGCATCATATTTACATGTCACGTATTGTTTATTTCCTTACCTCTACATGTCTTTCACTCCTTTCTCGTATATGTTCAGCTTCTTGCAACAACTGATTATGTTCTAGCTGCAGTGATACAATTCGATCTTTTGTTGCAATAAGCTATTCCATGAAGAAAGGGGAGAAAAGAAAACAAATATATCTATTATCAAGGGAATGGAATGTCTGGGGGGAAAAAACATTCCAATGAAAAAAGCAAATGCATGCACTACAATAATTCTATAGTTTATTTCTGTATAATTATTTTTTATTTTCCATTTCCTGATTGCAATCGATCAAATCGCTGCTGAAGATTTCAACTAGGTAATTGACCCTAGATTAGACACATCAGACATATTCATATACCATATAATAATCTTTAAAAAAAAGTAAAGCAAAAAGTTTCAGTACGGGATGACGTAGCACGATGAGTGGGCGGAGCGTTCGGATTGCTCGCTAGCGAGGGCAAGTGTTTTGCTTCTCCCTTTCACACACACGCCGATGTCGTATTAACAATATACAAACTGACTAGCAGCTAAATCCACATCCGGTAAAATCGGATAGGAGTGACGGCTACAACCTACACCTCACAAGGAGATCAAGTTTATGAAGCTCCGAAGGGAATATACTCTGAGGAAGGTGTCATGAGCCTCTTGCTGGACAGATAAGCACACAACGGTAGATACCTGGGAGTTTGGAAGATCTGTGGATACATTATTTAAACAACAGGCTGTTCAGCTTTTTTTTTTTTTTATAGAACATAATAACATGCAATCTAAGCCATATGTAAGACTTAATAGATCCAGTTAACCGATATCCTGCCTATAAATAAGCTCCTGTAACTGCAGAACCTTGATAAGGAGTACTAATAGTGAGATATAAGTAAAAATCCTCCCATGAAGTCACGAGTTTTACATAGTACATAGTTACATAGCTGGAAAGAGACTTGCGTCCATCAAGTTCAGCCTTCCTCACATTTTTTTTTTTTTTTGCTGTTGATCCAAAAGAAGGCAAAAAACCCAGTTTGAAGCACAATTTTGCAGCAAGCTAGGAAAAAAATTCCTACTTGACCCCAGAATGGCAGTCAGATTTATCCTTGGGTCAAGCAGTTATTACCCTACACTGAACGATTATATCCTTGAATATTCTGTTTTTGCAAGTATGCATCTAGTAGCTGTTTGAACATCTGTATGGACTCCGATAAAACCACTTCTTCAGGCAGAGAATTCCACATCCTTATTGTTCTTACAGTAAAAAAAAACTTCCCTTTGCCTTAGACGAAATTGTCTTTCTTCCAGTCTAAACGCATGACCTTGTGTCCTATGTAAAGTCTGGTTTGTGAATAGATTTCCACACAATGGTTTGTATTGGCCCCGAATATATTTGTATAATATTATATCCCCTCTCAGGCAACGTTTTTCTAAACTAAATAGGTTTAAATTTGTTATTTGTTTCTTGTACTCAAATTGGTGAGAAGCTATAAGTTTTTAACCCTATGTTCAAGGGATACTAATTAAGGTGTTTAAAAGAGAAAAACTTCCTCTCCCTAGAGGAAAAGTAAAAGCAAAAAAAGGGGGGGGAGAAATAGAAGGGAAAACAGAAAAAAAGAAAGTAAGTCTTAAAGAGTCCTCCTTGATAAAGGGAAGCAAGTCCTCCCTTGATAAAGGGAAGGAAGGGTGAAGGAGTAGGATTGGTCTGAGGAGAACAAAGTGGTGAACAAAAAAGCTACAGAGACCAAACAATCTTCAAAAAAAAGAGAGAGAAAAAAAAAGAGGAGAACCCCCAGAAAAGTGAAAGGAGACTTTCTACACGTGTTACCTCTCCTAAACTAACGGAGCCTAAACCCAGGTTATTAATGACAGAACATAACACTTCCAATACTACAGATATCAATGATACTAATTAAGCAGAAGCTCAAAAACATAAAGTCCAAAATTACCAGAATCACAATATGTAACGCAAGAATATATTAAACAATGTTTGGATATGCAATTAAGACAATTAAGAACTTAAAATACATATGAGTGACCTCAAACAGGAAATGACTAAAATGAACAAAATAATTAAAGAAAATTAGCACTCCAATTTGAAATGCAAAAACAAAGAAATAGATATAATGAAATTAAGAAAAAAATAAAATAAACACCCTTGAGGAACAACTCGTGGACACAGAGGAGAGAGCAAGAAGAAAAAAAAATCTGAAAATAAGAGGCATTGCAAAAAAGGTGGATACAGAAAAAATTAGACCTTATTTAATGGTACTATTCAAGGACATGAAGGTCCAAGAAGCTCATGGTGAAGTAATAATAGAAAGAGTCCACAGACTCCCAAAACCCAGCTATCTCCCAGATGAAGTACTGCGTGACATCATTATAAGATTCAATTCATTCTTCATAAAACAAAGAATCTTAGTTGCTGCAAGAAACTTTCATACTGAGGAAAGAAAATTCCAAAATCTAAATTTGTATCAAGATCTCTCAATCAGAAACCAACAGCTGAGAAGAGAATTAAAACCAATACTTGGCGTTCTTAGAACTAAGAACATAAAGTACCGATGGGGATTTCCTATCAAATTGATTTTCACGTATGAAGGAAAAAAATCTGACATTTAATTTGGCTTGACATGCTCAGGAATTGTTGAATAAATCCATAATGAATACTGAAGAAGAAAGATCTAGTGAAATAGCAGAAGGATCAAGAAGGCAGACACAAACACAGCGGAGAGGAGGAGGGGGTGGTTGAGAGAGCGAGAGGAACATTATTTCCTTCCTTCCTTATTTTTTGCTCTCTTATAGGAGTAAAAGGTGGAAATATTATAGTAATGGCACTCACAAACACAAATTTTAACTCCTTTGAACGAGAGCAGAAGAAGCGACCAATCTATTTTGACTAAGCAGCCGCTATTAAAATCACATATATATTATATATTTTTTTAAAGTATTTTTTAATATACACTATTAATAAATTACATAACACAAAACAGAAATCACAATAGATGTGAATAATTAGATAGATTCACAGGAATAAAATGTGAAATTGGAAGAGATAAGTGTGAAAGATTTAGATAAGTGAGATGAATTCGAGTAACTAGATGTTTTGTTATTTTTTTGGATGAACACAAGTAGATGAGACTCCGTTTAGGCGTGAATACTAGTCATGTATTACACATAATGGGATATAGTTGTTTATTCTGTATTATTTTATAGTCTTATGGGTTTATAATGTAATCAACCTGATAAAACTTGGTATATCAAATTAATATATTCATTGATCAATCTACTAATAATTACCTTTTGATGCTTTATTTTCTGTTTAATAAGGTTCCTTTGTATTAGGATAACCTGAGACTGATTTGGATTATATGCTCCACCTCTATCCTTTCCCCCTCCCCCCCCCATATCCTCGCTGGAGCATAAATGCTTGTTGTTGTATCTTTGCCATTGTTTAGGGTTGAAGGAGCACTCCCCTCGGGGCAGGCAATCCGCCTTTTTTTTCCTTTTGGAGGAGATAAGAGGTAGTGTAAATCTCTTCATGATCACATTTTTGGGATTGGTATTGGGCTGTTGCCCATTTTGGGTTTTGGGGTCCTGTCAGGGCCGGATTAAGAGCACAGTAGGCCTGGTGCTGACAATTATGATGGGCCTAATTACGGAATCTTATTGACCAAAAACACTAAAACAATCATACCTCCCAAGCGTCATGTATCTGATGGAGATGGTGCTGGAGGGAAACTCAAAGGATGCAGCTATAAGAAAACACATACTCTATGCTAATCCCTCTCTAATTTATGATTTCATCTTTCAAGTAAATCCATAACCCCTAACAGCAGTGTCCAGTGAAGCAGGAAGTCAATGGGCGGGGTAAAAGGGTGTCACGTGACAAGACCTGCCAAAAGGGGTGAACATGCCCAAAAAGGGGAACGTTTGTCCAAAGAATTGGAAGGTCAGCCTGGCATTAATGCATGTCAGGCTGCCTGCCAATCTTGCAGGCTGTCCAACTAAGGGCATACTATGCAGGCAGCACCTTGAGCTTGACATAAATGCGTCTAATGATGCGCTCATTCCATTCTTTCAAAGGACTGTCCCATAGCACTCGCTGGTCCACTTGTCTCCTTACCTTCTTACTAGCAGGCAGAAGGTCCTGGTATATAGTCTGAGACAGAGAAAAGATGTCTGTAGTGAGTGTAGAAGAAAGGGGACATGCCACAGTGTT